CATTGTAGCATTATTAATTGGCCTAATATTGATATTGTTTTATCTCAGAAAATAGAGAGTTTCAAAGAGAGGGAGAGAAATGCTGCAAAAAAAAATCTATTGGATATTTTTAAATGATTTTAAAAATCTATGGATTAAAAATAGAAGTCTTAGGGTAAATTAAAAATTATTTTTAAATGAAGAAAATTAAAAATAGTGACATATCAAAATGTATAGTAATCAGACAAAGCAGTGTTTAGAGTAAACGCTTTTCTTTCTTTTCTTTCTTTTTTTCTTTCTTTCTTTCTTTCTTTCTTTCTTTCTTTCTTTCTTTCTTTCTTTCTTTCTTTCTTTCTTTCCTTCCTTCCTTCCTTCCTTCCTTCCTTCCTTCCTTCCTTCCTTCCTTCCTTCCTTCCTTTCTTTCTTTCTTTCTTTCTTTCTTTCTTTCTACTGAAGTATAGTTGACACATCATGTTACATTAGTTTCAGGTAGACTACATGGTGATTCAGCAACTCTATACCTTATGCTATGCTCACCACAGTGTAGCTACCATAGATCACCATACAACACTATTAGAATGCCATTGACTATATTCCCCACGCCATACCTTTCATCCCCATGATTTATTCACCCCATAACTGGAAACTCGCCCCTTCTACTCTCCTTCACCCATTTTGCCTATTCTCCCACCCTGCTCTCTTCTGGCAACCACTAGTTTGTTCTCTGCATTTATAGGTCTGTTTCTCCTTTTGTTTGTTTGTTCATTTGTTTGTATTTTTTAGATTCCACATATAAGTGAAATGTGATGGTATTGTCTTTCCCTGTCTGACTTATTTTACTTATTTCATTTAGCATAATACCCTCTAGGTCCATTAGTGTTGTCATAAATTGCAAAATTCCATTATTTTATTTTATTTTATTTTTTAAGAGCAGTTTTATGTTCACAGCAAAATTGAGTGGAAGGTACAGAGATGTCCCAAATGCTGGCAAAAATGTGGAATAATAAGAACACTCATTCAGTGCTGGTGGGAATGCAAAATGGTACAGCCATTTTTAAAGACAGTTTAGAAGTTTTTCACAAAATTTAACACACTCTTATCATATAATCCAGCAATTGAACTCTTTGGTATTTACTCGAAGGAGTTGAAAACTTATGTCTCCATTATCTCTTATAGCTGAGTAATATTCCACTGGATGGATAGATAGATAGATAGATAGATAGATAGATAGATAGATAGATAGATAGATAGATAGATATAGAGATAGATAAATAGATGATAGATAAATAGACCCATCTATATCATATCTTATTTATCCATTCATCTATCAATGGGCACTTGAGTTGCTTCAATATATTGGCTGTTATAAACAATGCTGCAATAAACATAGGGGTGTTTACACCTTTTTGAATTCAGTGTTTTCATTTTCTTTAGGTAAATATCCAGTAATGGAATTACTGGATTATATGGTATTTCTGCTTTTAATTTTTTGATGAAACTTCATACTGTTTTCCAGAGTGGCTGTACCAGTTTGCATTCCTACCAATAGTGCATAAGAGTTCCTTTTTCTTCACATCCCCATCATACTTGTTATTTCTTGTGTTTTTAATTCTAACTGTTCTGACAGGTATAAGATGATATGTCATTGTGGTTTTGATTTGCATTTCCCTGATGATTAGTAATGTTGAGGATCTTTTCATCTGTCTATTGGCCATCTATTTGTATGTCATCTTCGGAAAAGTGCAGATGCTTAACTGACTGAGCCACCCAGGTGCCCTGTCAAACACTTTAAAATCATTTTCTATTTATCTAATTAATCAGAAAGAAAAAAAAAAGTCTCCATATTAATATTGTTTGATAGGGACAACTTAAACAACAAAGATAGTTTTTATACTAACAGGCATTTTCAGTCAGCATTCTAACAGGAAAAGAACAAAATAAAAAAACACCTGCTTTACTGGCATATTTTCAACCAAAAGCATTTATTTCACTGGTTTCAAGGAAACAAATGATGGCTTTCAGGCCAGTTATCACTGCAACACTTAAGCAGTTCAGCTTTTTTTTTTTTTTTTTTTTTTTTAAGATTTGTGTTATTGGAAAAAGCAGCAGTCCTAGCAGGGAATGACAGAAATTCAGGGAAATCAGGCATGCCTAATGACTCTGTTCAGATTTAGCACTGGTCTCTGGTGATTTCTTTTTAAGAATTCCAGAGCTCAGGCTTTTGATCTTGAGCAGAAAATCCACATGTGAGTGGCAAGACACTCTGTTTGCACAGCCCTAGCACATGTAACATTCCCAGTTTGGCCAGAGATCTCCCAAGCAGGAGGGGTTCCTTCACACAGAATGGCTGTAAACCCTCAAGTCCGGGTTCATTGCATTTGTTTTCTTTGGGAAGTCTCTTGAGGGCTTAAGACAATTAAAGGGCTAATCGGCTATGCTTTGCCTGTAGGATGTTCAAGTTAGTTTCTTCATAGCAAAGTCACTGTTAACCACATTTTCCCTTTCAGTCTCTAAATCTATCCTCCAGCTGGAACAAAGCTGAAAAGCTGCAACCTCTGAGAGCAATATGCTCTAACTTGACTGGGAAAGAGCTAGTAGAGTGTACTAGTATAATGGCATGGAGAATGCCAGGTGTACCCTCGATGGCAGGGATTCTCAGCCAAGGGTGATTTTGCCCCCTAGGGGACATTTATCAATATCTGCAGTTATTTTTAGTTGTTGCAGTTGGGCAAAAAGGTAATAACTAGCATTTAGTGGGGAAAGACCAGACATCCAACGACTAAATATCTTATAATGCATAAGGCAGGCTCCCACAACAAAGAATTATCTGACCCAAATTATCAGTATTGCCAAGGTTGCAAAATGCAGCTCTATGGGCTCATATACAAGTATTGGATAGATTTTTCCAGTTTATGCATCTTCTAATAATAAGTTACATGGGCCATACCTTAGATGAAAGATCTTTTGAGATGATATCTTCAAGAATGTATTTGTTTTGCAATATCTGTCAAATCTTAAAACCTTTGAAAGTATTTATGTTACTTTGTTAATTGTCTGAACAGACTTGGTAGGAACTTTTGCAGTCTGGCTGAACTCTTCAAGTCCAAGGATCTTTGTGAGCTTGTGTTTAAGACATATCTTTCATCCTCCAGTTTCAGTGCACAAATGTTGAAAATAAAATATATGCCTCTCGGTTGTGATACAAATGCTTGACATTGAAACATATTAAGTGATTCTTTTAGAACACTGTTCTAGTTTTCTGCTACGTTCTTATACAATCTGGAGAGGTCACATGCTATTATATTCCATTTACCCCTAAATAACAATGTCAAAAGAAAAAAAGTCAGTATTTGGATTGCGTAGAAAAATAAAATTAATCATTGAATTAATACTACTTTAATTGAATCAAAATGCTAGAGTCATATTGTCACTTGAAACACACAAAGCTACATCTCATATAATTTTTCAAGCCTTTATAAGACTTATGAAACTATCCAGTGGTTTGTAGCCATTTAAGTTTGCTTTGTGCCTAGGACATTGCTTTAATAGAGACTAAGTCAGAAATTTGTTAACAAACTTATTTTAACAACAGTATAAATATTTAAGAATAATGCAATAATTTTTTAAACGGTAAGTGCATAGTGAGTTTAAAAATTAGTATGATCTATAACCAATATGAAAATACCAATAATGCACCATGATTCTTCTGTTTTAGCCTGCAAACAAGGAATCAATACCAAAGTCTTTTCAAGCTTGGAAAAATGGAGACTTGAATAATTGTCCAGTTAATTTAATAAATGTAGACAGCTGACCTAAATGAATCAGATTGTAAAGAATTCTTTTACCTCATTAGCATTTTTGGCCTAAATTATCCAGATAATTATTCCAATTTTCCACATCACTTTGCCCATATTGAAAGAGTGTCTTTCAACTTTTCATTGTAAATGCATTTCTTCTGTCCTGTTCAAAGCCCAGCAAGGTGTGTGTCCTTTATGATGCAAATCTAGCATTTCCCCATTTTGCTGATATTCTTTGAAATGCTATCATTTCTGTTTGTATAACCTTTAACTCAGTATTGATAATTTGACCATGATGGTGCCAAGACCTATTTATACATTATACAATTCCAAATAGAAAATCATCTCTTGGTTATTCTACTGTATTTTTTCTTCATGTACGTGTGGTTTATTTCAATTTCTGCAAAACATTTCTTTACTTTTCCTTCACTCATAGTATATTTTCCTTCAGTTGATAAAATTAGTTCATTTGCTCACCAGGGTTATACCTAGTTATGTGTCAATGTTATACTCAAGATGTTTCAAGCTTCTATTTTACACTGAATAAACTAGTTGATCCAATTTATCTATATCTAATCAGAAAATTCTTTTTTTTTTTTTTTTTTTTTTACAAACTGTTTCTTCTCCGTCAACCTTTTCAATTTCTATTTCCATTTTGTTTGCCTTTGTGGAAGACCAGCTTAAGACCACTCAGTGGTTGTTCCTCCCATTCAGTGGCCTGAGCAGTGGAAGCTGCAGACCAGTCTTCAGTGGCTGGCTGGGTGCTCCAGTCTTCAGTAGGGAACTGCTGAATAGGCACCGAGGGCACCTGCATGCCTTCAGACCAGTCTGCGACTTCAGGCTGAATAGCAGTGAACTCAGGAGCTGGAGCCGTCCATTCACCCTGAAATTCCTCCTTGGTCACAGCCTTTTCAGCAGCGGCCTGCTCTTCCTTTTCAATCTCTTCAGGATCTCTGTAGAAGCAGAGATCAGGCATGACCTCCCATGGGTGTTCTCAGGAAATGGTGCCACACATGAGCAGAACTTCCCTGGCCAGCATCCACCACATCAGACCCACTGAGTGAGTTCCCTTTTTAGGACCTTATAGCAGGATTCATCAAGTTGCTCTGAAAATCGAAAAGGCCCAGTAACGTGTGAGGCCCAAGCAGTTAAGAAATATGGAGAAAAGAAAACACAGACCATTTAAAAAAGGATTTCTCCTTAAAGTTGACACATCTGAATTATACTTATAGCAAGAATTACTATCAAACTCCACTCATTGGGCCAGAGACTCTTGTGGTGTTAGCGAAAAGACTTGCCCCTCGTGTAGCACACTACCTACACTTGTGAGTTCATCTAATCAGAAAATTCTTATCTTGAATTAATTTGAGATGAAAAAACATATTATGGAAAATAAATATTATTGTAAGTGCAGCCATCATTTATATTAACTGTCACTCGTTCAAGACCAATCAGGGTAGGATAAGAAGGATATGAGAAGTTTGTAGGCTAAAACAAAAGCATTGCTTAATTATTTTTATAGCTTCATTCATCCAATGTTTATAATGTATACAAATAATAATCTCTTATCCTGCTTTAGATACTGAAATTATTTTTCATAATAGAAATAATAGAACTGAGAAACTATAGAATCCTGAATCATATTTGCTTGGTGTCACTCACCATTTGACTAGTGAATTTAGCTCTTATTCATTACTATTCTCTGAAGTCTTTTGCTTCTATTTTCAGTAGTAGTGTGATTCTCTGTAACTTTTTCTTTATTCCAAATTTTCAGATTCTCCACTACTGTGATTTTTTTCATTGCAAATACCTTTAAACCAATATATTAGTTAACTGTTGTTGTCCAGCCCACATTCCCTAGATTTAGTGGATTAAAAAAATAGTCACTTATTCTTACTCATGAGTACACAGATAAGCTCTGTTGTTCTAATCTAGGATACTTGGCTTGCTTATACACCTAAGGTCTGCTGGCTGGTGTTTTATTGCCTCACTCATTAGTCAGAAGATTAGCTCTCAGTAGTTGGAAATAAGATAAATTAGGCCACATGACTCTCCTTATTCTGCATATTAGCTGATCTTATTCACATAGCAGTCTCAGAGTTCCACAAGGAGAACAGAAGCAAGCAAGGCTTAGAATTCATACACTATGATTTCTGTTGCACTCTGTTGGTCAACATGTATTACAAGTGCAGCCTAGATTCAAGGGACAAGAAGTAAATGCTACTGCTTGATGTATGACCTGTAAAGTTGTATCACAAATAGTGTATGGTTATAATTTAAAAAAAAAAAAAGATTAATTGCAACTATTTTTGTAAATGACATTCCACAGTCTACTTCCTGACCACAATTGTTTACATTTATCCCATTTCAAGACACTCAAAATTCTGATCCAGTTATGACATTGTGTTCAAAGTATAAGATCTCATGATCTGTATCAAGTCTTGATGTGGCTCTTACAATACAGTTTTTATAATACCCAGCTCTTTATATGGAAAGCCAAGAACTAACAACTAAACTATCTGACCCCATACATGTAATTTACAAAGGGGGAAAGGGGGGACAGAGGCAGATTACCTCTAAGAGTCAGTGGCACCCAAGGAGGGAAGGAATGAGGTGTGCTATAGTCACTGGTCCATAGCAATTCTAAAATCTTACTGGGTAAATGTCATAACATGTTGTCATAACATCTTTATTTGGAAAAGGAGTTTATGTATATGAGTTTCTTGAATGCATTTGTGTGTGCATATGTATGTAGGCAATTGTATGATTTTTAAAAAGGTTTTCATAGAAATATAACTATTCTGGAAGTGCACTGTGTTATTGTCAGTAATTTAACACTAGACTGGGAGATTTAGGAAGCATGAATGAACAAAAATCACACAAAAAAATCACCCATGTTTATGTTCTCCTTCAGAAATGACCACATGATAAAAGAGATAAAACATGACGTTGTACATGTTTTTAAGCCTTTTAGAAGTGCATTCAATTTTCATTAAAAATAAAAAATACCAAAGTATAATGCAGTGTATATATAGAAAACATTGCATACAGATAGACAATAAATGTAATTTCATGTAAAATTATTTTCCTGTCTTAATATAGTAGTTTGCTCCTACAAATGGTATTTGTTAGGAATGATAACATTTGTTTAAATAGAATGGATATTGTGCATCATCTACATATAGTCATTGATTTCTATCAACTAAATCTTTAGTTTTATATTGAGAGGATTGGTAGCTTTTACATTCTAACTTATTTAAATCTTGTGGGTTTTGTTTTTTTTTTTTAATATGGATTCTTAATTTAAAGCATATTTTGCATTTCAAGAACAAGTAGAGAGATTAGTCTGGTGGGATTTATGTGAAGGAGTGGAAGAATATTTGGGGGCAATGAAATTTTTACAAAGTAGCCATTGCTAAAATATATAAGACCTGATAAAGCATGTGTGGAATTTAGATTTTATTCTAATATATGAGTAAACATTGGAGAATTTTGAGGGTGACATGCAAGATTACAGCAACATTTACAAGCAACAGTAAATGATGGTGGAGGTGCAAGGGCAGTGGGACATAGAAGCAAGGAGACAAGCTAGAGGGCCAATTAAATAGCTCATTGATGAGATGATGGTATCTTGGCTAGGGTAGTCAATTTTGGAGCTCATGAGAAGTAACTGAACTCTGAGTATATTTTCAAGATAGAGTTGATAAAACTTACTGATGAATCAGATGGTAAGTATGAGAGAAAAAGTAGGTTAGGATGACTAAGGCTTGTGCCCCAAATTAGTACATGAATAAAGTACTTCTTTCTAAGAAGGGGGCCTTAAGAATTAAAAGAGTTGGTTGTTATTATTACTGCTAGGGTTAGTGATATTGTTTTAAATTATTTTGTGTTCTCTTTCCTCCAGAGTCAGTTCTAATTTTCATTTATTGTGGTCTATTTCAAGCTTTTGATTGTTGTAGGTTGATTTTTTTTCAGATAGCTGTTGTGATTTTCCTTCATTCATACATATGTAAATTTCCCTCACTCCTACTGGCCTAAGTGTGTTTTCAGCTATGTCTCTGGCATAAATGTGACAGGTAATTCTGTGTCAGTTGACAATGGCTTAACTATTAATTTTGATTAAGAAATGAGTTGTTGGAGAAACCAGGAACAGACATGACTTTGCTCTGGAAGCCAGAACTCTAAATTTTCTGCAAGCAGTTCTTTCTATGTCTTACTTATTGTTGGTTTTGCTTTTTTTTTTTACTATATGATTAGTTGTTTAGGTGTTTACCTGGGGTTAAAAGACAGGAACATGGGATGGGGTGAAAGAGTAGAGATGGGTTAGAAGGTGCCAATTTATATAGATATTCATCTGGCAGACTTTCAATTAATTCCTTTTTTTTTTCTTTTTAGCCTCACTTATCATTATTTTCTTCTGTACCTTCTGATCTCAAGCTGGAGCATATCTTTGTTTCTGAGTAACTGCTTCCTACTTGAATTGAATCCTATTTTGCCAAATTATTTTTCAATACCCTTGCTTATTTAACCTAACTTTTCAAATTTATCATCAAGTTTCTCATATTTTTATTATCTTTTTAATATCTTCAGTGTTTATGTATTATTTCTCACTCCAGAAGTTATTTAATATTTTTATGTGTACAACTTTCTTTTTCTTTTGATCACCCTTGCAAATTTTTCAATTTTATTCATTTAAAATAAAAACCTGCAACTATTGGATTCTTTAATTCATTCTATGTTTTCTATGTTAATGGTCTCTGTTCTATCTTTCCTCCTTTCTACTTTCTTTACACTTATTCTGTTGCTCTATTCTTTTAAATATTAAATTGTCTGCTTATTTTAATGAATTCAGGGTTTTTTTTCCCCCTAACATAAGTATGTAAAACGGTCACAAAATTCCCTCTGAGCAGAGCTTTAACTGCATCCCACAAGTTTTAGGTTTGTTCTAAATATTTCCTAAGTTTTATTAAGATTTATTCTTTAGGGATGCCTGGGTGGCTCAGTCGTTAAGCGTCCCTTTGGCTCAGGTCATGATCCCAGCGTCCTGGGATCGGGCCTCGCATCGAGCCCTGCATAGGGTTCCCTGCTCAGTGGGAAGCCTGCTTCTCCCTCTCCCACTCCCCCTGCTTGTGTTCCCTCTCTCGCTGTGTCTCTCTCTGTCAAATAAATAAGTAAAATCTTTAATAAAAAGATTTATTCTTTAACTGTAAATTATTTAAATATTTTTCCTATTAAAAATCATTTATTAAAATGTAACATCCACTTAAAAGTTCACATACACATACCATCCAATAATCATTCACAAATTGAATACACCATCCAGTTCAAGAAATAAAGCCTTACCAGCAGCCTAGAAGACTCCCTCTTTTCCTACACTACTATACCCAATGGTTAACAATATCCTTACTTCTAGCATCATAGATTAGTTGTATCTGTAGTGAAACCTTATTGTATAAGGATTCATTCTCCCACTTTCTTGCTGGCTTTTTTCCTTGAACTTTGTGAAATTCATCCATGTTATTGTACATAGTTACAGTTGATTCATTTTTATTATTCATTATATTTCATTATATGAGATACCATAATTATCCATTACAACATTCATGAACAATATGATAGTTTTCAGTGTTTAGTTATTACTAATAATTTTTCTCTGAACATTCAGGTATATGTCTTTTGGTGAACTTTTGCATGCATTTATTTTGAACATACACCTAGGAATAGAACTACTGAATCATATGCTTAATTGCTAGCTTAACAGATATATCTAAGCAGCTTTCCAAAATGGCTGTACAAATTTACAATGTAACTAGCTGTGTATTAGAGTTATATACAGAGTCCAGAAAGAGATCCATACATAGTGTACTGATTTTTGACAGATGTGAATCACAAATGCAGTGTAGAAAGGATGATCTTTTCAATAAATGATGCTGGATCAATTGGATATTCATAAGAAAAAAATATACTTAGTGCCTCCCCCACCAATCTTATACCGTTCCTAAAAATCTCACATCTTTCCTAAAAATCAGTTTTATACAGATTGCAAATCTAAATGTTAATGGTGAAAAATGAGGATTTTAGGGGGGAAAAGCACAGGAAAACATACTCATGATATTACAGTAAGCAAAGCACTCTTCCATGGGGCTCAAAAGTATTACCTCTTAAAAACGATAAATTAGATGATAATGAGATTAGCAACTTGTTCGTCAAGGATACATCAAAGTATGAAGAACAAACTAAAGAAATGAGGGGCACCTGGGTGGCTCAGTTGGTTAAGCGACTGCCTTCGGCTCAGGTCGTGATCCTGGAGTCCCAGGATCAAGTCCCGCATCGGGCTCCCTGCTCGGCAGGGAGTCTGCTTCTCCCTCTGAC